AAATATTATTTTGGTTCCATTAATATCATTTTATGTATAGAAAATATCTATAATATTTTCTAAATATTATTAGAAATATTTTCTATAGAAATATACAAGATTATTATTATCCCAATTTTAATCTTTATATTTTATACTACTATAATCTTTACTAGCATAAAGATTGTGGTAGACTCCGGCGTTGTTCGTGTGTCAAAGTTGGAGACCGGACGCTTGAACGGTTACGTTTGCACTTTCAACGCTCTTCCTACGACTTCTTCGTTTTTACCGCTTACGGAGAAAGGTACAAATTTCTTACTACTATAAGTTTTAGTACGTGATTCTGGGCAAGATAATCATGTTAGGATGTTAAAATTTTTATATTCCGCTGCCTATCCTTGCATGGTTACCTTTCAGTTTTTTGCTATTTATTTCCTTGTGTTCCTTGACCAAGATGGCATCCCTGTCCTCAAATGTGGTGAATTTGAACACCGGCGCAGCAGCGCCAAGGAATATAATAATGAGTGTGCAACCTCGCAGAGCTTAGTTTTGCTGCCAGTGAGCTTTGCATCCTTTTAATAAAAATGACTCTCGGCAGTGGAAATCTCGGCTCTTGCATCGATGAAGAACGTAGCGAAATGCGATACGTGGTGTGAATTGCAGAATTCCGTGAACCATCGAAACTTTGAACGCAAGTTGCGCCTCAAGCCATTCGGTTGAGGGCACGTATGCTTGGGTGTCATGCATTATGTCTCCCCTCTCGTGTGTGGAGTGGGAATAGATCCTGGCCTCCTGGGCCCTTCCTTGGGCCTGGTTGGCCGAAAATGTTGTCCTTGATTTTGTTGATGTCTTGGTGTGCGGTGGATGTGCCAGGTGTGCATAGTTGTCAGCCTTGCTCGGCTTCATTGTGGCGTCGGGATCCTATGAAGCTGCCGGTTTTGGCTCTTTGATTGCGACCCCAAGTCAGGCGAGACTACCCGCAGAGTTTAAGCATATCAATAAGCGGAGGAGAAGAAACTTACAAGGATTTCCTTAGTAACGGCGAGTGAAATGGGAACAGCCCAGCCTTAGAATCGAATGTTTTGCCATTTGAATTGTAGTCTGGAGAAGCGTCCTTAGCGGCGGACTGGGCCCAAGTCCCCTGGAAAGGGGCGCCGGAGAGGGTGAGAGCCCCGTCGGGCCTAGACCCTGTCGCCCCACAAGGTGCTGTCTTAGAGTCGGGTTGTTTGGGAATGCAGCCCAAATTTTGTGGTGAATTCCGTCCAAGGCTAAATGCAGGTGAGAGCCCGATAGCGAACAAGTACCGCGAGGGAAAGATGAAAAGAACTTTGAAAAAAGAGCCAAGGAGTGCTTGAAATTGTCGAGAGGGAAGCGGATGGAGACCGGCGATAGGCCCAGGTTGGATGTGGAACGGTGGTTAGCCGGTCTGCTGATAGGCTCTGGGTGTGGATCAGCGAGAATTCAGGTGGGGGTTGAAGCTTGGGCATTTGATATGCTAGGGGAATGCCAACTCTTGTATTGTGGGAAGTAGTGGGCGCCCCGCGTGTGCTTTGGCACCTGCGTACTCAGGTCGTTGACTTGTGGGCTCTCCATTCGACCTGTCTTGAAACACGGACCAAGGAGTCTGACATGTGTGCGAGTTGGCGAGTGGAAAAACTCGCAAGGCGTAAGGAAGCTGATTGGCGGGATCCCTCTTCGGGGTGCACCGTCGACCGACCTTGATCTTTTGAGAAGGGTTTGAGTGTGAGCAT